CTCTGCCCCCACTCCTTTCCAACTATACCAGCCTTTTTGCAGATTCTGAAACATGGCATGCTGAACCTTTTCTAGGGGACTTCCTCTGCTGAGCCTCTTCCCCCATTCCCACCTCTCCCAGACTGAAATGCTCTACCCTAGATGTCTGCCTGTCTTGATCTCTCACTTCATTAGGGTCCTTACTTCCTTCTCAAGTCTTCTTAGAGAAGTCTTCCCTAGTACACTCTCTAAAATAGTCTCTCCACCTGTCATAGAGCCAATTTATTTGTTTATAGTAATACCACTTCCCCTCTCCCAGCTTTATTGAGGTACAGCTAGTATACAATTAAAAAAAAAAAAGAAAAGAAAAAAGAAAAAAAACCCCTGCATGTAACTAATGTACAGTTTGGTGGGTTTGGGCAAATGTATATACTCATGTTATCACTACAAGCCAGATAATAAACATATCCATTACCTCCAAATTTTCCTTGTGTCCCTTCGTTTTTTTTTTTTTTTTTTTTTTTTTTTTGTGTGGTAACAACACTTCACATGAGACCTACTTTCTTTAATTTTTAAGTTCACAGGATCTTACTGTTAACTACAGGCACTAGGTTGTTCAGCAGATTTCTGGAACTCACTCATGTTGTATTACTGTAAATTTATGCCCATTGAACAACAACTTCCTATTTCTCCCTCTCACCCATCCACTGGTAACTATCATTCTATTGTCTACTTCCTTTGGCTACTTTAGATGTCTCATATATATAAGAGAAATATGCAGTATTTTTCCTACTGTGACTTACTTATCCCACTTAGAATAATGTATTACAGATCTACCCATGTTATCATAAATGGTAAGATGTCCTTCTTTTTATTTTCCTTTTAATTTAATTTAAATTTTTTAGATGGAGTCTCATTCTTGTTGCCCAGGCTGGAGTGCAGTGGCACAATTTCTGCTCACTGCAGCCTCTGCCTCCCTGGTTCAAGTGATTTTCCTGCCTCAGCCTCCCAAGTAGCTGGGGATTATAGGTGCTCACCACCACATCTGGCTAATTTTTGTATTTTTAGTGGAGATTGAGTTTCACTGTGTTCAGGCTGGTCTCAAATTCCTCAGGTGATCTGCCTGCCTCAGCCCCCCCAAGAAATCTCCTTTTTAAAGTCTAAATGATATTCTATTATGCCACCTTTTCTTTACCTATTCATCTGTGATGGACATTTGGGTTGTTTTCATATCTTGTTATTGTGAATAATGCTGCAGTGTACATGACAGTATAGATATGTCTTCAAGATCCTGGTTTCAATTCTTTTGAATACATATATGTATCTCCAGAAGTTGTATTGCTGGATCATATGGTAATTCTATTTTTAATTTTTTGAGGAATTACCATACTGTTTTCTATAGCAGCGGTACAATTTTACATTCCTATTAATAGTATACAAGGATTCTAATTTCTCTACAACCTCACCAACACTTGTTATCTTTTGTTTTCTGGGCAATAGCCATTCTAACCAATGTGAGTTGATATCTGTTTGTGGTTTCAATTTGCATTTTTCTGGTGATTAATGATACTGAGCATATTTTTATATTATCTGTTGGCCATTTGTATGTCCTTTTTGGGGACATGTTTACTTGATTCCTTTTCCAATTTTCTAACCAAATTATTTATTTTTTGCTCTTGAGTTTCAGAAATTCGCTATATAGTTTGGATATTAACCCTTTATCAGATATGTGGTTTGCAAATATCTTTTCCCATTCCATAGTTTGCCTTTTCATCATTCTGTTGATCATGTTCTTTGCCGTGCAAAAGTTTTGAAAAATTTCTTATAGTCCCACTACTAGTTTTGCTTTTGTTGCCTGTGCTTTTGGTGCCCTATCCAAGAAACCATTTTTGTCAAAACCCATGTCAAGAAGTTTTTCCCTCACATTTTCTTCTAGGTATTTTATAGTTTTATGGTGTCAAATTTTACATCAAATCTTTAATCAATTTTTGTTAATTTTTGTGTATGGTGAAAGATAAGCATCCCATATCATTCTTCTGCAGATGAAGATCCAATTTTGCCAACTGCATTTATTGATAGACTACCCTTTCTCCATTGCATATTCTTGGCATACTGTAGAAAATCAGTTAACAATACATATATGGGCTTATTTCTGGGGTCTCTATTTTGTTTCATGGTTTGGTATGTCTGCTTTTATGCCAGTGCCATACTGTTTTGGTTACAGTAGCTTTGTAATGCATATTGAAGTCAGGAAGTGTGATGCCTCCAACTTTGTTCTTTTTGTTCAAGATTTCTTTGGCTGTTTGGGGTCTTTTGAAGTTCCACATGAATTTTATAGCTTTTTTCTCTACTTCTGTAATAAACACTTTCTGAGATTTTTGACAGGGGTTTTATTGAATCTAAAGATTATTTTGAGTCATATGGATGTTTTAACAATATTGATTCTTCCAATCCATGAACACAGTATGTCTTTCTATTTATTTGTCTGTTTTAACTTTTTTTAATCAATATTTTATAATTTTCAGTGTACAAATCTTGCACCTCCATGGTTAATTTATTCCAGAGTATTTTACTATTTTTGATGCTATTGTAAATGGTATTGTCTTAATTTCCTTTTCATATAGTTCATTATTGGTAGTTACATTACTTTTTGGTATTGTGTTGTATATTTATTAGTGCAACCTCTTATTAATTATTCATATCTGTAGCCCTAGCACCTAAAGCAATGCGTGGTACATGATAGGCTCTTGATAAATAGTTGATGATTCATTAAGAGAATGAATATCTACTGATATAAATTATAAGGAGAAGCAATATAGTAATTTCATCCATGACCTTTATAGCAAAGGAAGTCATGAAAAATGAGATAGGGAAGTGATATGGAATGAGGCTTAAGTACTGGAAAAGTGGCTTAAGCGGCTGAAGTTTTGAACTATGAGTTGGAATGTATTTTAGAATGAATTAGAAATAAGAGACCTGTAGACTAGGGTCCTTGATTATCAAGAGTAAAGGGATCACATTCAAGGCTTGATAAGGCTTACTTCAGCCAAATTTATTTTTTCTTAAAACATTGGAATTTATTTATTTTTTCCATATGAAAATTTGTTATTTTCTGTGCATCCTGAGGCACAAACAAAAAGGTGTATCTTTTATATAATTTTGTTGAAATTTGGAAATATTATTTGTTTGGGGTTTTCTAATTTCTTGTGCAATTGTTTTTCCAAAAGTTAAGCAGGAAAAAGGGATTTAAGGTGGGAGGGAGAGAGAGAAGAAGAGAGGGATTTTGCTTTTCTTCTTTTATTAGCAGAAAAAAATGTGACTGCTAGCAGCAGGTTTTGGAGAGGGGAACAGGGAGCTAGATGTGCAGAAGCCGAGAGGGGATATGAGGACATAAATATCTTCCCTGTGAGTGTGGCAGAGAGGCAGTATGATTGTTGTCCACAAAATATTAATAAGAAAGTGGCAGAGAAGCAGATAAACTGACTCAGCACACTCTTATGTTTTGAATTTTTTTTTAAGAGAACTGATAACGTGAGGTGTTATAATAGCAGAGAAGGGAGAAAAATGACCTGTATATACTTCATACTCTCCAAGAGTTTTGGTTATGTTTCTTTCTTTAATTATATTTATTTCATGGTAAAATAAAATTATTTTTATTATAAGATAATGTACACCTGGAAATTGATGAAAACAGCAATAGAACTGTTGATAAGGAATGAAAATATATAAAAGGCTTTGACATGAACACTTTGAGGTTTAATTAATTTTAAATTAATAGTTAGAAAATCCGTGCACATGACGGCCCTTCCTCTGGCTTGTGCCACACTTCAGAAATATGTCTCAGTTGACTTCATCATGGGAAAAAATGGGTTAAATTAAAAAAGTATATTGGATGTAAGAGCAAATACTTGGGAGATTTAAATGAAAAGTTATGAGTTAAAAGTAAAAAGAGAAAATCCATGTATTGTGTCTTGCCATACTTAGAATCTGGGTGCATTTGATGAACTGAAGATTAAATAGTTTCTGGGAACTTTTAAAGCCAGGGGCTTTTCCGTATTCCCAGCATGATTCAGCATGGGAAATTTCAAGTCAGTGTAAGCATGCAGGGTGTTTTGTGAGGAGCAAAACCCTGCCAGCTTCTAAGCTTCATGGGAAAAAAAAATAAATATGAAAGATACCAGCTCTCTGAATTCAAGCGAACAAAAAATGTTCTGAAAAGGAAGGGGAAGCTCAGTGAAGAGAACCTTATTCCAGGGAGCAATTTAGTCATGGCAAAAATCCTAGATCTTTAAGACATGAGTTGTTGATATTGATTATGGGAGAAGATTAGATACAGATATCTAAAACTCCCTGATAAAATTGGAATATAAAACCATTTAAACAATGTAATGAGAAGCCAAGAGATTTGGAGCCTGGAAGCCTGGGTTTGAGTCCCAGATCTATCACTTGCCTATTGTTATTGAAGTATAATATACATACAAAAAGCTGCGTAAATGGTGGTACCCTGGCTCTTCCCAAAAGACACATATGCATGTAACCAGCACTCACTGAAATTAAGAATCAGGTTATTAGCAACATCTCAGGAAGCCCCTTTTCACTCCCCCCACCTTTTTTTTTACTGGCCCCCAAGGGTAACTAGTCTCCTGATTCCTGATTTCTAACAGAGCAGATTCATTTTGGCTGATTCATCATAATTTTATATGAATAGAATCATTCAAGATGAAGTCATCTGTACTTAGTCTCCTTGGCTCAACATTATGTTTGTGATTTATTCATGTTGCTGTGTCTAGCTCTAATCTGTTACTTTTCATTGCCAAATTATATTGTTTGGTATAAATAAACATAATTGATACAATCTACACTTGATGGACACCTGGACTGTTTCCAGGTTTTGGTTATTCTCAGAATAACCAAATACAAGAATGTTGCTAAGGAACATTGTGTACATTTCTTCTTGTGAACATCTGAATGCATTTCTGATCATCTGCTAGGGGTGCTATAACAAAGTCGCAAAGACTGGGTAGTTTAAACAACAGAAATTTATTTATTCACTTTTCTAGAGACTGGATGTCCAAGGTTAAGAGGTCAGCAGATTTGGTTTATTCAGAATCTTCTCCTTAGTTGCAGATGTCACCTTCCCATTGTGTCCTCACACCGTCTTGCCTCTGTGTCCTGATGTTTCTTTCTCTTCGTATAATCACATCATTCCTATTGAATTAGGGGTCCATCCTTTTTACTTCATTTAATCTTGATAATCTTCTTGAGGGCACTGCCACGAAATAAATACAGTCACATTAGTGGATAGGACTTCAACATATGAATTTTGGTAGGACACAATTCAGTCTATAATGCCATTTCTATGGGTTATATTCTTAATAAATGCTGGATCATTGAATTTGAATACATGTAGGTTTAATAGACACTGACAGTTTTCCAGAGTGGAAATGCAGATCAGTTCAACCTATCTGGAAAACTGTCAGTGTCTAGAATTAGTTACTTCATAATGTTAGTAAATATGGCAGTCTTTCTCATTTTAGCCATTCTGGTATGTATGTACATGGCATATCACTATGATTTAATTAGCATTTCCCTGAATATCTTTTACATATTTATTAGTCACTTGGATATCCTCATTTGTAAAATGTCTGTTCAAAACTTTTGGCTATTTAAAAAATTCAATTGTCCACCATTTTCTTATTGATTTGTAAAAGTTCTCATCTATCCTGGAAATAAAATATTCTTTGTTGAATAGGTATCTAGCAAATATCTTCTGCTAGTTGATGTATTTTCTTTTCAGTCCTTAGTTTTATTCTGATTAATATAAGTAATTTTAACAGGGATGTTTAATTTATAAATTTTTCTTTTATGGCTAGTGCATTTTTAACCTTATTTAAGTATTTAAGTAATCTTTGCTTGGCTTTCAGTTATGAACATTTTTTATTTTTTAACAATAGCTTTATTATTTTACTTTTATATTTAGATCTCCTGTACATCTACAGGTGATTTTTGTGTATTGTGTGGGGTTTGAGAAGGGGTCATGATTTATTTTGTCTGTGTAAAATTCAGTTGATTTCAAATCATTTATGTAAAAAGCCCATCCTTCCTTGCTGCACTGCAGTGTCACCTTTGTCATTAATCAGGCGACAGTTCTAATAATGGGTCAGTTTCTGAATGTGCTCTTCTTTTTCACTGGTCTTTATTTTTATCCATGAGTCCATAGCAAACTAAATGTAAGGGCTTTATATTTGACTGGCTTGACTTCTTATATTAACAGTAATCTTTGTCCAGGGCCGTTCTTGGTCTTTTGCATTTTTAAACACATTTTAAAATTAGCTTATTAATTTCCACAAAAACATCTTCTGGAATTTTGGTTGGGATTACACCAAATTTATAAGTAAATTTAGGAAAAACTGATATTTTAAAAATATTGAACCTTCCAATTCATGGAACATGGTATATCCCATTATTTAAATCTTTCTCAATTTCTGTCAGGAAATTTTGTAGTTTTCTATATAGCTGTCTCATATATCTTTCACTAGGTTTATTCCTACATATTTTATGATTTTTAAATATTATTGTAGTTTAGCCAAGTGATTTAATTTATTGCCATCCATACTCTAAGTATATTTTGAATTTTGAATAATATTGATCCAAATATAATCTAGCCAAATAATAATGATCAAGTAGTGCCTTCACCCATTCCTTCATGCATTTCTTTATTAAATAATCATTTATTGCATGCCCCTCGTATGGTGGTTGGTCACAGTGCTAGATGCTAGGCACACAAAATAAGGCAGTTTTTATTATAGAGGAGGTAACAGTTCATGGCTAACCAAACAATTACAATACAGGATGGCAAACTGAAGAGGTGTGACTAATTAGGAAACCCAGAATGATGCTGAATAATAATCAGGATAATTACAGAAGTCATGTTAAGGAGTAGTATCAGAAATAGCACAATCACTTCACAAGGGGACAATAAAGAGAAACTATAAAAACTTCTTACAGAATCATATCACACCAAATTGGTGCTAAATTAAACTCAAGTAAGAAGGTAAGAGCCTTGAAATACAATGTGATCTGTGTTGCCTTGATTTAATGGGATTTTGAGGAGTAGGAGCCATAAACATAAATGCAACAAGTGATCTTCTCCAGGCTGAGAACCCAAAAGAAAGGGCCTGCTTAGGTCACCAAGAATTTATGTGGAAACACTGGGATGGGAACTGAGACAAAACCAGCTCCATTATTTATTTATAAGCCTGCTGTAGGAAGTATGGATTCTTTTGTGTTCTAGAAGGAATATAAACAAACTTCTGCTCTGTTTATTTGTATACAGGATACTACTGAATTTTTGTAAACAAAGTAGACTGTTAGGAATAAAGGATAGTTTGATTTAGGATATGTGTCCATAGCATATATTATCTAAGGAGAGTATGCTGCCTATTGACCGTGGCAAATTCATGATATTAAGGCAAATGGAAGAACAATGAAAAGGAAGGATTGAAAGTACAAGGAATTGAGTAATGAGGATTTTGAATTTCCACTAGTTCTGAAAAGTATGTCTAATTTAAATAAAAGGGAAATGGATATAGTAGAAATGGCTTTCAGCTAGAAAAGAGAAGTAGTCTCAGTTTCTACATGTACTTTCTAAGCTATGCAACCTCTCTGGCTCTCAGTTTCTTATACAGAATACATTGCTTTCCCTCCACAGCAACTCACCTAGTAATTGCACTCAATAAATATGAGATAAATGAATGAATATATAGGAGACAATGAGTTGGAGGGGGTCTTTATTGGGTCTTCTTAGTTTTCTTTATATTTTTAAAGAATCATATTTTCTCTCATGGCTTACATTTTATTTCTGCTATTGACTTATAAATCCATCTCATATAATTCTTTGAACTCTAGGTATGCACATCTATTTTCTTTTAACTGGACATTTGCAATTGGATACTCTGACTAAAAATTGGCATACCTAATATGAACTCATTGATTTTTATCTTCCTCCCAACTTGCTCTCCTCCTGTGCCCCTACTTTAGTTAATGACATTCAGCAACAGACCCAGTTGCCCAACATCCTTTGCTCAGGATTTCCTGAAAGGATTATCTCCCAAATAGCTCTGGGAAGCAACCATTTCTCTCTATATTCATATTCCTACAATCCTTGTTTAGGTCATCGCAAAAATGGCCTGAACAACTATAACAGCCTTTCAAACCGGTCTCTCTGACTTTAGAATATTCCTTCAATTTGATTGCATTATTTTAGACAGTAATCTTACAAAAATACAACTCAAACCCCATCACTCTCTACCTAAAATCATTCAGTGATTCCACATTGCCCCAAGGATAATGTGCCAACTCCCTAAAGTGGCTTATCATCTTCGTTAGATACTCCGGCTTTCCTTTCCAATCTAATTTCTCCAAGAAATTCCATCTTCTGCCAGACTGAGCTGCTGTCCTCACCTGTGCTTTATGCTCTACTTTCCTGACACTGAACATGATGTTCTCCTGGCCTAACTGCTTCCCCCTTCCACCCAGCTCTCACCTCCGGCCTTCACATCTTAGTCTCCTCACCTGACAGTGTTCTCACCATCTGTATCATTTCAACCTAGAAATCACCTTTGTAAAGATGTCTTTTCTGATGGCTTCCTTCCCTGTGGTTGCTACTACTCCTTTTCTAGGACATTTCTCTCTGTGATGTATTATCTGTTAAATGTCTGAATCCCCCACAAGATGAAAAATCTTTGTGCGTATGTGAATGTTTACCTGTCTGGTTCATATTCATTGTGTTGTCTAATTGTCTGGCTCAGCATAAATTATTAATAAATATTTATAAAATAAAATTACTCTTGCAATATTAAAATACTATAATAGAATGTTAAAATCATAAGGCTGAGAGACTTATGAGGTCACAAAATCATAATACTATAATATAATGTTAAAATCACAAGTCAAATTTGAGGGTGAGTTCAAATTTGACTGACGGGGATTGGGGAATAAAGAAAATGAGAGCCTGGGGTACTTCAGAGAAGTGCGTATTTTATGACATCAAAAAGTTGTACTGTTCGTTTGGGATTTGGGGAATTAACCAGAGGACAGTTCTTTCACTGCTGCTGCTATAATGTAAGCTCGAGGGACAATGAAGAACACTCTAGCTTGAAAAATAGACTTTAGGGGAAAGCTCTTAAAATTTGGGGTGTTACATAAGAGGATATGACACATCTTGCCTGATTAATAAAGCTCTGCTGAAAACTTCTAAAAAGAGGCTGCATCTGCTTTAGTTGCTTAGAGGCATGCATATTCTCTGACCACTGTTCTCTCCAAAACATTTTGAGAATAAAGTTTTCCAATTCACTGTATTTTGTCAGGTGTCAAAGACTGAATTGCTAAATGGGAGAAAGTTTGGGGACATAGAGGAGGCACTCATGATCAAGTAGAAACATGAAAAAGATTTGCTTGTGAGTTTATTTTATTTCTAATTTAGAAATAGGGTAGTGAGGCTGGCCATGGCGGCTTATGCCTGTAATCCCAGCACTTTGGGAGGCTGAGGTGGGTGCATTAGCTGAGGTTAGGAGTTCGAGACCAGCATGGCCAACATACAGTAAAACCCTGTCTCTACTAAAAAAGTACAAAAATTAGGCATGGTTGCATGCATTGTAATCTCAGCTACTCGGGATGCTGAGATAGGAGAATTGCTTGAACCCAGGAGATGGGGGTTGCAGTGAACCAAGACTGTACCACTGGACTCTGGCCTGGGCGACAGAGTGAGACTGTCTCAAAAAGAAAGAAAGAAAGAAATAGGGTAGTGACAGATCTTCAAGACTAATAAGCTGATTTTCTCTTGTAAAGCATATTCTGTGAGGGAAAGTTACATATTAAAATATGACACTCCTTATAAACACAGTATTCATTCCGCTTTCCAGGAGAAGGGCGTGTGCTTCTTACCTGTCTAAGTAGCTATCCTTTTTCTTCATTTTCACTCCTCAGGATGGAAATTTTTCTAAAATGTATTAATTCCATGCCTTTTAGATAATATAATTAAATATATCTTTAAAATATGGTTTTATTTTTCAAAAAAAGGGATAGATTGCTTTTCAGTATTGCAGTGTGGGTCTGGATTTTTCTGGGTTTTTTTTTTGCCTCATATGAATTCTCTGTCTTACATCTCACAGCCCACCTCCATCTGTCTCCCAGCACTATTTTTTGGTTCTTTTATTGATATGTAGTACTATCTATATTTTGGGGTACCTGTGAGTGTTGCATGTATAG